TGAGGCTGCTCCTGTCTGTCTATAGAGGGCCTCATCTGCATGGTCTTCCTGGTCAGGTGGCCTGTAGCAGACCCCCACTGTAATGACACCTGTGCCTGCCCTCCCTTTAATTGTGACCCATAAGCTCTGGGTTGGCTCCTGATCCATCCCCAGGCGGAGCTCCATGCACTCCAGCTGGTCATTGACATAGACGGCAACACCTCTTCCTTGTCTCCCCTGCCTGTCCTTCCTAAAGAGCCTGTACTTTCCATTCCAACACTACAGTCACAGGAGCCATCCCACCACATCTCCGCGATGCAAGTAGAATCATAGCCCTGCAGGCGTGCACATGGCTCTAAGTCCTCTTGTTTATTCCCCATGCTGTGTGTGTTTGCATAGAGGCATTTAAGTTGGACCCCCGATGAAGCCAACTTACTGGCTGGAATTCCTTTGTGCTGCTCTTCAGGTGCACACCTGCTGACCTGTGATCCTTCTCCAGGCTCTGGGCATCTATTCCTGGCACTGGCATCCAGCTGGTAGGAGCAGGATGGACTGAGGTTCCCCTACCCTGGCAACTTGCGTTTAAAGCCCTCTTCACCAGCTTGGCAAGCCTATGACAGAAAATGCTCTTCCCCTTCTCTGACAGATGGACCCCATCAGCCCCCAATAGGACCCCAACTGGTTTCTCAAAGCCAGTCCCGTGGTCTAAGTAGCTGAACACCTGGCTGTGGTACCAGTCCTGTAACCACTTGTTGATTTGCCAGATTCGACTGACCCTTTCAAACCCCTTCTCTTTGACCAGGAGGACTGATGAAAAAGCTACCTGATTAAATCTTTAATTTAAAAGTGAATCAGCTCTGACAATATATATTTCCACACTATTCTTGTGTTTTTAACCACTACGTGAAATTTAAGTTCAATAGGTAAAGTCTGTCTTAGGCAACAGGTGGCACATTGCATAGTTACCACTGTACTTTTCTTTAATCTCTCCTACATTCTCCGTCTGCCCCAAGGACTACTGCAAAAGAGTCTCTCCTGCAGAACTGCTAAGGTAACAGCAGCTATAGCTGCTTATGTAGCACCAGAAGAGAATGACAGAGGCAGCTATAACAAAATTATATTATGTCATGTGTGATCAAGACTTCGTCTACTTTGGGAAATAAGCAGACAAGCACATTATCTTACACAATGAAGTGGGTTGGATTAATGCTGTTTATTATCTCTGCCAGCTGGAAAGCAGCCCCAGACAATTCATGTCACTATTACTTTTAAGAAAACAGACTTTTTATTTAAAAGCAAAACAAAACACAGTAATAAACACATTCTACTGTACCTTGCAATAGTCAACTGTTGCTAGAAACTCGTAAGACCCCAGTGATAACTCAGGTCGGTCATAGAAGTCTACTCGCTTTCCAGTATGATCCAAATGCTGGAAGTAGTGAGGTGGCACTGGGGATGGAAAAAACATTAAGTTCAGTGATACGTCCATGACAAACACTGTGACTAGAGAGCTAACACGACAACACCTGTTTCAAATAAAACTCCAGGAAAGCTAGCTAGCACTCTGTACTAGCATGCAAGTATTACTAAAAATATTAATGCAATTTAAGAGCATCATTAAAGCCAAGAAATACAGACAAACTGCTTCCAGTTTGTCTTATGCACCAGGTGGCACACTGTATAGTCACTAGTACTTTTCCTGAATCTCCTTTACATTCTCATTTTACATCTCATATCAGAAACGTCACTACAACATGCTCTTTGTATTCTTCTGAAGGATTTAGTCCAAGGGAAAAATATAGCAATCTTGTATAATTAGTAACAAATGACTTTAGAGTTTGAGGCAAACTACAGGCTACAACATTACTGACTCAATTCAGGCTTACCAAAAGATCGAGCTCCTTGTTTTGCTATATGAGTTAGCTTTTTCCTTCCCTTCCCACGTTGCACAAGTGTAAACCTTTCTAGGCACTCTCGGGTGCCAAGATTGCCATAATCCGTTTGCCAGAATAGACAGGGTACTTCTTACAGTGGATTGTAAAGCATTAAGGAACCAAGGGTGTAACCACATGCCCAGTGCCCAGTACTTTTGTGTTGGTACCAGGCATCAGAAGGTAAAATAGGAGTCAAGCTAAGTTTTTGCCTACAGAAGTCAGCTGCAGAAACAAAGAAAGCATTTCCCTTGTGCCCCAAGAACTACCATGACAGAGAGTCCCTCCTGCAGAATTGCTAGGGTGACAAAACATATTCCAGCTATAGCTGCTTATATAGCTCCAGGGGAGAATAAAATGAGATTATCTGTAATGATAGTATTCACCACCTTTAAATTATGCTAAACATTCAAAGTTTCAACAGTTCAAAAGAAAACAAAGTGACATCATTAAGACTATACATGTAAGCACCTATCACACTTCTCTCCAAGTACACATCCAGTACAAGCTAACTACCAGATTGTTTTTGCAGAGAAAACAGAAATTATTCTTAAGTATTAGGTACAACTACATTGTATTTTTACAGCACTGCTTTCATCAGCAGTCTCTGGGCTCCCCTCCCTTTTCTGCCCCTGCTCAGTTGTTACAGGTACGGCCATTGATACAGCTGCTGAGTAAGCAGGGACAGGGAATGCATGCAGGCTGAAAATCACTAGACAAAAAAGTTATTCAAAGTTGGCCATTTCTAACCCCCATCAGCTTTCCATTTTGGTTTGTACAAACAGTTGTACAGCATAACTGAGGTGATAAGAACAAACAGTCCATTAAAAGCCATCAATACTACCAAACGAAACACTCAAAACATCACCATAAGGTTTGTTATACCTTACATTCCACTGTGCCTTCAAAACAAATCTACGCATGTCACACTATGAGCTGCACATAGTGACTTCTGCTTAAAAGGAAGCATGTTTCATATTAATTTAGAAGAGCAATTAAGATTAACTGGCATATATTGAACACTCCTATTCAGCTGTAGCAGATTTACCTGCAATCTCATTTCTAAGCAGTGCTTAAGCAGGCTTTGTGAGCAAAAAAAAAAAAAATCCTAACTCATGCTACTGACTAGATGTACATCTCAGTCTGTCATAGAAAAACGCAAGTTTGAAATACCCTAAGAAAATAGCATAAGTAATTTTTCAAACCACCATACATTATGCTACAAGTACCTCATGTTAAAAGTTTGGTACAATAATACTGCAATGCATAAGCACCTACTTAATTTGAACATAATTTCAGAACTGAGCACTGAACATGTTTTATAATGATTTTTTTTACAAGACTAAACACATGTTAAAGCACAGTATACATTATAAATGATCATAACATGACAAAGATTTATTTGCTTGCATCTTGTTCAAAGATCACTCCAATAGAGCCTAGAGACCGATTCCCAGAAGAAACCTTACCCTCAGTGACACAGCTGCAGAAACAACACTGGAACCTCCTTCCACCCTCAATGAATTGCATAAAAGGGCACATGTAAGCCTTGCACCTATTACATCTGACAGGACCGGATTCACCATGGTCTACCAAGTAAGGAAGGGTCTGTGGAAGCAGGGGGGAAAAAAGAAAAGAAAGGTCACATGATGATGAGAAAGAAGCGATGACACATATTGTAGATCTTAAAACTATCTCCCTGTACATTGCATAGGATTTAACATTTTGGCAGCTGTGGGAGAGAGCGCAGGGGGTGGGGGAAGCCTGAACAAGTATTTTGTAAATGCTTTTCAACTTAAGCTGTACCACAGCAGCTCTTTGTGGGCTGCAGTCATTAATGGGCTATCCCACTTAGACACAAAGAAGTACTTCTGCGCCGGTGCTGCACTACCTTATATAGTAGCGTGCTTGAGGAGCATGAGCTCTAGCAGGAGTACCACACTGCACAGCACAGATGTATCCCAAGTGAACACAAAAGACTGAAGCCATGCAAAAAATGGCTGTGATAACCTCATGGGAGCGAGCATACAATTTACATTTCACCACAGGTTGGGTGTTTTAAAAGCAACTCTTCACCTCTTATATTTTTCACTTCTAAAAAGCAAGCTTTTTGACAAAACAGAAGCCAGTCATTGCATTCCATATATTCAAGAACATAGAGCATCCAGACAATCTTCAAAAATTCCAGCTGATAAGACTTATTTTTGAAGTTCACCATGAAATACAGTATATCCGTAAGTTCTGCTTGTCTTGACCCTATTGTATAGCAAGTCCTTAAAACTGTTATGTAGTGATATAATTTTTGAACTATTACTGATAATATATTATTTTTGCAGCCAAACCAGAATAAGATGCTTGGCAACTTCTGCAGCTTCTCAGCCTCAGAACAAGCAGGAAGCATTTTAAAATGATTAAGACAGAACTTGTGCAAGCTACAAGCTGCATTCATAGATCAAAGTACCTTTCATAACTAAGAATCTAGCTCAAAAGAAAGTCTTAATTACTTCTACATTTTCTGACACTAAAGGTGTCCAGTCTTAATTCTCTCGGTCACCCTAAACCTCTGATCATGTTTAAGAGACAACATTCATTGAGTAGGAGTTGAGCAAATGCTCCAGTCACTTTCTTTCTCTTCATGCCACATATGTGTCACAGCTCTCATTCAACCCCACTAATCATTTATTGACAATACAATGGTTTTGCAGCCAGAGTTTCTCAGCTCCTATCACCCAGGCTGACCTCCTCAGAGGAAACAAAATTTCAAGTTTTCTGACTGCCAGGCAACATTGGTATTATACTTCCACACAATAAGCTTTTTTCCTCAGCCTCTCCCCCAATAACATGCATGCAAACAAACTACAAGGGTGCTGTAAACATGCAGTGATATGCATAACTTGCCACTAATCACTTACTCCCAGAAGGCACAGAGATACTTCCTTCTGAAGCCTTAAGCTTTGCTTTTTGAACTGTGCATTAACATAGGGCAAAGGTCCTGTATCTGGCAACCAGGTGCTGGACTTTTATATATTCTAGATTTATCTGAATACTGTATTTTCATGAGACACTTATCCTTGCATTACTGATAGGTTAAGTTTTAGCTCTATTTACAGTCTTACTGCTCTGAACAGCTGAGCCTTCATCTGTTGGAAGGGCCCCTTCACAGGGAGTTTGCCCTTGCCATAAAGAACTTTCCAGTGGTAGAAGCTGACCAGTCTCCAGGGCAATTTTCCGATCCTAGCCATGTTTTCTCTGGCTATCACAAGTGTTTGTTCAAAGCAGAAACACACCAGGAGACCTAACAACTAGTTGTTTGTAAAGCTTCTTTAAAAATGTGCAGCTCCACAAGCCTCCAGATTTCTAAAATAAGACCACATTCTCCTGTTGTGCTCCTTTTAAACTCCAGCCACAAACCAATTTTCAAAATCCAAACCATAGTTTAGGAACGTTAATGAAATGCAACAGGAAAAAAAAACACCCTTAAAAATCCAGAGGATTTTCCTTTTCTCAGCAGATGCTAAGGTTAAGTTTAACAGGACACAGAATACTGCAAACATATGTATTAAAATTTAACAAGCATATTTGTCTTTATGTCACTGCTCCAAGCAGGCTAACACTACACAGTAGCCAGAGTATTTAGAATATTTTACAAAATTTCTAGCTCTATATGATTCTCAAAGCTTTCATGTTCTCAGCAACCAGACAGTGGGTAAAGGCTAGCTAGCCACACATTACACCTAGAAGAAAATAAGTGCTGCACAGAGCAAGGGCAGAAATACAAGTGCAGCTCAGCAGTGCCCCATACTCAGTCTTGTGCTGTCACCTCACACAGCGCTATGCATGTACGTGCACATTAGACAGCTTAACCAGTGCTGCTTGATATGTTCCTATCCAGTTCCACAACTTGACATCCTAGAAAAGACTTAACATCAGTGATCAGTAACCACTTAAATACTTTAGGCTAAGAAAGAAACTGAGATCAACTGGAAGTGTATGCATTTGTGATCATCCTAGTATTTTGGTCATAGTGCTTGACAGTTAACGCAAAAAAGCTGAAATTATCATGGAGATCAAAATATTACATGTTTTGAACACAGCATTCTTCTGCCTTACAGATTTCTACCACACACTTGTGGGAGAATCAGTGTTTACCTAGTCTTCATTACCTAAACATTCCTTCTCAGCCTATCTGTTAAATGTTGACATCTAATAGCATTTCCCTGACAAGTTCAGAGTGCATACAGTGCATATGTAACTCTGCATATGGTTCTCACCTCCTCTGGGGGTAGAGTAGCCAGCGGTTTTATGACAGCAGCTAGGGGAACTTGGGACTGTTTGGCCATATCTGAGGTGCAGGGAATATTGTAAGATGTGCATCTTATGTAGCGGGGGCTTGCGTTACCTGGGGAACAAAGAAAAAATCCCGACAAATTTCAGTACAAGTTTATATGCAAGAACATAAATAAAGATTCCTTCAGTTGTGTTATTAAGCTACAGAGACTAAGAGCTTATCTAAACAATCATTAATTTCAATATATGCAAAACTTGAATTCTAAACAAAATGCCTCTTTATGATTAACTACGTATAATAAAAACCCTTACCTCAAAACAAATGAACTTGACTCCACGTCAACTTAAACCTCTAAAAAGGCATTCC